GAAAAAAAAACAGTTTAGAATGTGTTGTTATGATAAACAATTATTAAACTCATTATAGAATAGTGAAAAAACTGTTTGTTTTTATTTATCCAATAAAGAAGATGTTTTGTCTTTCACTGATATTATCATACATAGACATGGATCCTAGTTGTTTGGATCATTGTTACATTGATGAAGACAAATGCGATTACCTATTGAATCACAAATAATAATATTCTACCATCAATCAAAAATTGAAGAATAAAATTGGTACTGCAGAATAACAAAAGAGAAATTGCGAAAATGTTTTCATACTTTGTGTTAGAATCACTTGAAAAATCCAAATCCATTGAGTTTGAGTTTGAAGGATTATTCAGTTTTCTTTGCTTCTATATAAGGTGCGTAAGAATTGATTGATATATAGTATAATCTGTGAGATAAATTTGTATGAATATCTAATTTATATATGAACAAAATGAATTAAACTATTTTTATTTTTATAAGAAAAATTTCACTTGCTACTAAATCTTGATTATTTTCTTTTCAAATCTAATTTTATTGAGTCGATCGTTCAATACGCTTTTTATCTTTAATCATTTTCCATATAACAAAAACTGTTCTGTTTGTGAATATATTTGTCTCCAAGTAACATATCAACAAAAAAGGTCGTCTTCTTGAGTGGATATGTGTTTTTACAAAATTAAATAAAAGTCATGACTAGTTTTTCATTAGCCGGATGAAATGAAATGAGAAAAAAAAAGAAGAAAAAAAATAGTTTTTATCGCTCAACAGATTCTTTTTCTTTTATTCTCAGTTATATTCATTTCATCAACTTGCAATCTAGTTGGTGATGTCTTTGAGAGGAATTTGTTTATGGCTTGTATTTATGATTATTACACAATCGGTTGGAGAAGATATGCGATCAGTTCGAATGTCTTCAATGCGTGGTTCGAAATTTCAATGCGGTAATACAACATGTTTACCGTTCGTTAACCTCATTACGTCAACTATTATGAAGTGTCAAATGGCTTGTTTAGCTCAAATTTATTGTAGAGCAGCCATATTTTATCGATCAACTTCTATTTGTGAATTATTTGCTGATATACTGAACCAAAATGAAAATATGGTGGCTGATGCGGATGCTACTAGTATGAATGTTATTAGTGGAACACGATCACCACCTGGTTAGTATAAATATAGTAGATTTAGAAACAAAGCATTTTAAAACTATCGACGACGATTTATTTAGCGAAGGAAGGTCCTTAGGCGTGTCCCAGGTATTTTCATGATATTAAATGGGTTTTTTAAGTGCAGTATACATATCTCAAGTATGAAAGAGATAGATATTCTCACTGTACTTATAAAAAATAATTCTAGTAAAAACATTTTCTGAGAAATATACACATATGTTTTACTGCATAGCTTTAAAGAAGTTTTTAAAACGATAGAGCATTTTCATCCTGAAGAACGCATTTTTCCCTCAGCTTCTGTGTATCCTCTATATTTTCATTGAATCTTCCTAGATCCGGAGCATGAGTTGTATGTATTCTGTATTACTAAGGATATGGGTGCAGATTTGAATCTATGGTCTTTTATATTCCAGCTGAGTTTTGCACAAAAAACGCCCTTCGTAATGTATTTAGAGCGAGGATGATGGGAAACTAGAAAACCAATAATATTCACAACTAATAGGCAAATAAACATTATGTTTTCTTTCGATCGAATACGTGATTTGAATGAAATGAAATCACCTACAATCAGCTATCTCCCTCATCATCCTTCCAATCCTACGTGCCACTAAGAGAGCTCGAGAGACTAGGAAGCAACGAGAGACTAAGAGGACTCGGGAGAACTGAGAGGACTCGGAGGACTTATGAGGACTCATAGAACACAAGTGACTAGGGGAACTGAGAGGACTCAGAGGACTGTGAGGACTTGGCGGACCGAGAGCACTTGGGGCACACAAGAGACTCGGAGGACTATG